GCCGCCGCCGCCGCCGCCGGGTCCTAGGCGGAGCGGAGAGCAGGAGGACGCGGAGCCGGGCCGCTGGAAGCCGGGGAGCCTCGGCGTCGCCGCCGGCCTGTGCAAACAGACAGACGACGGTGACAGCGCGCAGCCGGCGGGGGAAGGGTGGGAGGGGCCCCCGGGTGCCGGGGGGAATCCCAACGGCCCCATCTCCCCCCGGTGCAGCTCTGCTGCCCGCGGACCCTTGGACTCAGGAGGCGGCTGGGTGACCCTCTTTCAAAGGCAGGGCAGCCCAGAGGATTCCTGCCGTCGCCCCTAGGCACCCTGCGACCGTGGTAAGAGGATTTGGCAGTGACTCGGGGGCTCTACCTAATATTGGGGCTGAAATATCGGAGGGAAAGATAAAATGCGATTTTTAATGATATCTTTTAAAGAATTTGGATTAGCTTGACTGGAGAAAATCGTCGGCAGCCCCACCAACGGGGCAGAGATTTGGGGGTGTCACCTGTGTCTCTTCCTGCACAGGGTCACCTGTGGCCCACTCACCCAATCATTTTCACATTTACCGCGCCCCTCGCGTGGGTCGGCCCGGGGGGCCAGATGCGGGAGCAAACAACCCGCCCCTGGGAAGACTGAGGACAACTGTCCCCCGCCCCCCCCCCCCCCCCCCCGCGCCCTCATTGCCAGCCCTGCACACAGAGCCCAGGGAAGCCCGGAGCGGCGTGGTGTGTGGCCCAGTGTCCTGCAGGCGTAACGTGCACTTGGATCTTCCCTTGCCTTCACCGTGTACGCATTTGCTGTAAAAATTTCTTTGGGGATCCTTGTAGCTTCTGACGGGGCTTTTCTGGGACATCTGTGCTGCTATTTCCCCCTGCCTTCCAGGGATTCTTGGAGAGTGTCACCTCTGCTAGATTTCACTGGGACCCGCCACTGTCTGATGAGAACATCTGCCCAGGATTGTAGAGGTTATAGAGAATGGAAATGTTTATAGCCCGAAAGGAAGAAATAAGAAACCGTGTGTCCTATCAGAGAATGAAGTAAGCATGGAATGGGTCTCTGGATAAATCAAACACACCGAGTTTGGATTGAACTGGGAAAGGTGAAGTGAGAAGGGTCATCAGAGACCCGGAGGGCATCCCGAGGGCCAGGGGAGGGCTGATCAGGTGGGCTTAGTACCTCCCTGGCACCCTGCCCCCCGTTATTTTACTTGTTTACTTTCTGAAAATGGCTTTATTTAAACAGGATCCTGGGCTACAAACAAAAGCCTGAAAACACTGACAGATGAAGCCCAGAACATTTGGCTGATTGTTGTATATTTGATGAAGATTTTGTGTCCTTAGTCTGAAAGACATTCTAAAATATTATAGATTTAGTTTCTGCCGATTCAGTTTCTTCCAAGTAATCCGCTTAATTTCACAGGTGTGGAGGTGGTTAGAAGTCCTCATACTGAGTGGTAAATAAAATGATTTCTTCTGTTACATTTACTGAGGAGACTTGATGCCTTCTTCTGAAGAAATAAAAGGCTCATTCAATTTTGAGATAAACTTTTATTGTTGGGAACTCAAAAGTTCCTTTCACAGGAAAAATAACAATGCTATTTTCAGTTGGGGGGAAAAGCGTTTTAAATTCTAAAATCCTATTATGTGCTTATTACATACTAATGTGAGTTCATCTTTTTGGTAAAATGAACACCCAAGCATGTTTGTATGCAGTTTATGCCCGTTCCAAGACTCTAAAAAGCTGGCACAGATTCGGGCAAGAAAAATGTGTCTATTTCCTCTCAATATGTCTACTGTTTGAATTAAATATACTGGAGACTGGTGTAATTTGGTCTGGATATTGACTTGTTTTTTTTAGCAGTGCTCTGAAATGTTTGAGGTTTAATTTTTTTTTTCAAACTTATTTCAAAATGTATTACAAACCTTTGACTTGGTAAATCAGTTAATTCAAGATAAGCTAAGGAAACCACTGCCTTAAAGTGGGAAGGGAATAATAGTAATTTTAGTTGGATACATTATTAAATTGTGCAGAGGGTAACTATGCAAAATCAATGTACTGCTTTTACTTTTGGACAAAATTAATGTGACTTTCAACGATGACGATTAAGTTGCCAAGTAGGCAACACAAACTGGGTGGCTCCGTTGGTTAAGCATCTGACTCTTGGTTTCAGCTCAGATCATGATCTCATGGTTTATGAGTTCGAGCCCCGGGTCAGGCTCTGTGCTGACAGCATGGAGCCTGCTTGGGATTCTCTCTCTGCCCTTCCCCCATGCTCTCTCTCTCTCTCAAAAATAAATTAACATTTAAAAAAACACATAAAAAAGGACAATACATACATAAACATTTTATCTTAGATTTTAGAATTTACATCAATAATTTGCCTGCAGAAAATTCGATCATGGAGCCATGTGGCTCTTGGATCATCCCCTCAGTGGAAGAATGGCAAAAGTCAGGTTTCATAACCTGTTTAACTTTCTGCTGAATTTAGGTTAAATCCAATCAATTTCAATCCTTTGAGGGCACCACCTTAGTGTTTCTGTATCCTGTAGATAAAGAACTGATGGAATACCGTGCTTAAAAAGGTATAGACTCTTCCGATTCTAAAAGGAAACAGTTTGTTATCCTGATACTCATTATTTAAGTGATAGAAGTTTTCACTGGTATATTTCGTCATTAAAATTCAACTTTCCCTTTCTCTGGTTGATAGACAGTAGTTGGCTCCTTCCTATCTTACACTCGAGTTAATTGGGAACCCGGGTATTATTTACAAAGAGAAGCCGTGAGTTTCATTCATGCGGCTGGCAGGAATGGCGAGAAGGAACAGTGACGACCACAGGCAGTGTCGCCTGGAAGAGGAGAGTGGTATTTTATTAGGGAGCAGGTGCATTTTCTTTGTCATCATCTCCCTCGCCCAGCTCCTCTGTTAAACAAATGGCTTGTTAGGTCCTGACTTCAGCAACAAACAGAAGGGGAGCCCCTGGCCTTAACACCCAGTTGTCTTCCCAAATGCCTTAAGCAAGAGAGAGACTCAGTTTCAAACGGGTGGGGGCGGCGGAATTCCTAGCTCAGTTCAGCCACTGAGGCGTCTGCAGGTGAGCTGGGCCTCCCAGGGGGGCCGGGTCCCAGGGTGGCCGGGTCCCAGGGCTGCAGGCCAGGCCAGGCCTGGCTGAGCTAAGCTGGTGGGCCAGTGAGCCCTCTGCTTTCAGCCAGATGCAGAGCTTAGGTGCAGTGTCCACAGGACGGTCAGGGCTGCGAATCAGAGAGAAATGGTGCTCTTTGCCTTTTTTATTAAGGATCCACGCTGAAGAAATTGGGAGGCAGTATGGAACAGCAGTTAACAGCACACGCTTTGGGTCCCACACGCTTAAGGTTCCATTCTGGTCACGTGACCTTGGACTAAATGCTTGACCTCTCTGGATTTTATCTGGAAAAGGCAGGGACGAATACCGATTTCACAGGTGGGCACAAGAGAAAATGAAATGAGAGCATTTTGTTAGCACAGTGCCTGGAACATAGGAAGATCCGCTGAATCGTGGTGATGATTGTTACCGTCCCTAAAACTCAAGGCTGGGCTGAGCGCTGACCGGCAGTCAGTCCTCCGGTAAGGCCGGCGTCCGCAGTACTCGATTTCATTTTTCCTTTTCTCGTTCTTTCTTTCCTCTTCCTTCCCTCCTTCCTCTCTCTCCCTTTCTCTTTTTTAAAAAGGGTGTTAGCCTGGAGTTACCTCTTGTAGAAAATAGACGTAAAAGGGTTAGATTCTATTGTATTTTAATAAAAATACTCGTTTTAAGGAACCCAACTAGAGGAGGTCCATGAAGACTTTTTTTTTTTTTTAATTTAAATCTAGAAGTTCCCGCTATGCCTGGGAAGCAGTGAGAGGCTTCAGTAGCCAAACAGCTTTCCAGAGCTGGAGGAGAGGCCTTGGCCTGACTCACCGTTGCCCTGGCAACAGGAGGGCCTGGAGGCCTCCGGCCCTGATCCCTTAATCTGAGGAGCCTCCACCACTGTGCCTCGGGAAAGGTCTCCCCCGACACCTGGCTGGTTAAAGCACCGAGAGGAGATGGAGGCGGGGCTCTTTCCTGGAAACACAGCTGCCTAAATGTGTCCGAGAGGGTCTCAGCTTTCCAGACCCCCGAAGGCTTGGTCTAGAGGACTAGGCCTCTGAGTCTCCGGCATGTCGAGGAAGCAGATGGCTTCCCATCCTTCTGTGTTTCTCCATGGGGCCCAACACAACTGCTTTGCACACGAGTGGTGCTTAATAAGTACCTGGGGCGGTCCCCAAGGGACCAGACTCAGGTCCTGCTCCGCTGGCTGCCCCCCACCCCCAACCTGAGGCAGTTGCATTAATTTCTCCAGCTGCAATGGCATAGAGTCCACACAGAGGCCTTTTTTGCCTCTGCAACTGTCTTCTCTGACGACATTCATAATTTTGGCAAACATATGGCTCAGGGTATGTTCTGCTCACTATATTCTGTTTCCTCAAATTTTGTCTTACATCTGAGGATACAATGGAATAATTTGAAAGAGGGGCTGGCTTTCCTTTTCCAACAACCATTCAGATCCCAGGGAAAGGACTCTGTGGCCAAGCACATGGGTTTGGGAGTCAAAAAGGCTTGAGGTCAGGCGCGCTTGGGTGGCTCAGTCGGTTGAGTGTCCGACTCGGTCATGATCTCGCGATTCCTGAGTTCAAGCCCCGCGTCGGGCTCGGTGCTAACAGCTCGGAGCCTGGAGCCTGCTTCCAGATTCTGTGTCTCCCTCTCTCTCTGCCCCTTCCCTGCTCATGCTCTCTCTCTCTCTCTCTCAAAAATAAATAAATGTTAAAAAAAAAAAAAAAAGACTTGAGTTCAAATTTTGACTGTACCATTAGGTTGCTGGGTGACTTTGGGCCTAGTTAACCTCTCTGAGCCTCAACCTCTTCATCTATAAAAAAGAGTATAACTAAGGTCTTCAACAGTAATTAGCACTCAATTAATGGCAATTGCTCTTCCTGGTACACAACTCCATGGGGCCCATGGCAACTGGTTTCAAAGTCTGCCCTTCTAATTAAATTAAGGGCGCCTGGGGAGAGCACTGTGGATGACGACCAGATACCCAGAAAGGTGGGGTACAGCCCACTGCAAACTCTGGCTTGTGGCGGACAGGCGTGTTTCAATCCCTGTCCACTCTGACATCGAGACCAAGAGTTGCTTGTGTGCTTTTGAACTTCTTCACACCAAAATAACTTTCTGATTCTGCCTGTAGGGGAAAATCTCCTTCTCGGAGATTCATTCTTTCAGAATACAACTCGAGCCGGCTACCTACCTGAACTTCTGTATGTAAATTAAGCCGTCTTTAATTATGAGCTAATAATGAAAAAAGCAAACTTTTACCGAGACCTTAGTATGTGCCAGCCTCTTTGCTACTTATTTATTCTTTACGTGATTTAAGCCTCCGAACAGTGGAGCCTTATTTATCCCCATTGAACGGGCGAGGAAGTTGATGTTCTGCTAATTAGCTGGTTCGAGGCCATACCGCTGTCAAGTTTAAAGCCACATCTGGTCCACTCCAGAGTCTGTCTGCACTTCCGTGACCGTCCTCGAGAGCTGTTGGCCTCTGACGCCATGGAGATCGTGGTGGATGGAAAATGGTGTGAGCAAAGAGATACCGTGGAGCACAGCCTCCCCCCCCCCCCCCGCCACCCTCCAAGATGCTTGGAGAGGGGGTTAGAGCCAAGGAAGGGAAGGTAGAGGCACAGAGAACCCCCGAAAGCCCAGCCGAGTCCCACGCAAGAAGTACGGGTCCCTGGCTATATTTAATCCGTTACAGCCAGATTTCCTAGGAAAAGAAAGGCTCACCATCGCCACGAGGCCCCCAATGCCCCGAGGATGCCCTGGTAACTGTGTATAACAAATGAAGTCACTCTGAGCCTCCCCAAACCACCGTGGTCTCCCTCTCAAGTCTGAACATCTCCGGCACTCTTGGTCCTCCAGTTCCGGGACCAGTAAATTGGGCACCAATGGCCCTGCACCAAGTATCTCCACAACGCCTCTAACATCCCTTCCAGGCCTCAAATATCCTGGTGTTCCAGAGCACCGGGTCCTCCGGCATTCCTTCAGCCACTAGCCACCAGACCCATCATCCGTGGCCCGTCTGCTGCACACGGCTGCTTCCCCCAGATGTCTGACCACGGCACGTTTCCCTCCCGGTCCGCTTCGGTCTCCTGCTATCTGTCCGTATCAAGCCTCTCCTGCTTGGCAAGGGTTTCCCACACGAGAGCAAATCAAACCCCACCGTCACGAAGTCTTAGGTCCAAAACCCCCTCTGCACGCAGAATCTGCTTCAGGCCAACCTTTTTGACCTTGGTTTCCTACCCAAGCCCTTTCTCCAGCTCAGTGGGTTTCATCAGTCACTGCTTAACATTGGAGCTCATTTGCCATACCTCCCCCTTTAACGATCCTGCCCCCGAGAAGGCCTGGCCCATTTCTCTCCTCCGTGGAATCCTCTGCAGCCCGGGATGGGCTCCGTCACCACCCTCGTGGAGCTCTTCTGACTCCTCCAGGACCCTCCCCCTGTGGCCTGCCTCACTGCCTGCTCCTGGATCTGACTGCTCTTCAGCTGGTTCCGCAGCCCAGGACCAAGGCTGGCCTTGCAAGCCCCTCGCACTAGCCCCGGCCTCCTCCCGGCCTCCAGCTGCTTGTTCTAATGTCCCACCAGCCTTGCAGAAACTTTCCAGGAAAGTCAGATCCTTTCGAATGTGAGACCTTGAGCATCGCCTCCCCTCTCTGTGCCTCAGTTTATGCATCCTGATAAAGGAGGCAGTTGACGGCCTCTGGGTCTCTGCAGAGCC